TGTCTATACATCGTACTCACAATTGCTAAATGCCATTCAAAGACTTTACGATGTATTCTATTACGACATTTCATACTTTAGGGTCAAGATCATTATTGTGCATGTCGCTTCTCCCTGGAGATCACCTCTTCTCGTGGGACTCGATCCACTTCAAACATGTTGCCACTTTTCTGCTGAACCGCCCGGACGGGGTCAGGAAAATTGTGGCAGTCTAAACGCGGCATAGAGTCTAAGTCTGATAGTAACAAATACCAGCCTAACAAAGTAGCTATTCACCATAAAATCTAATGCATTTATTTCTGTTATTTATTCTGATTTATGATTTAATGTGTATTTGTTTGCTATATTAAAATCTGTAAATATTTTTATGAACAATTCAAACAAAATTAAAATTTTAATGGTTGACTAAGTATTATGAGTTTGTATAGCGAAAAATATTCTTATTGATCTTTGCTTGTCTGTTTCAGCGAGCATTTGGTTTGTATCTCTAACACTTAATGGGATTGTAAATAGGTTTTTAAAACTTCTTTTGTGTGTCGGGGTTATTGTTTGCATCGATTTGCACCATTCTAGTTTTCAGTGAGACGTCTGTGACGTCATTGTTTCGCAGATTTTGCGATAGCGACGTCTTCCTTGATAGATAAATTTTCAATGGGTTCCAGAAAGGGGGAGTCGGGGTACTGGGATGCTCCCTTCAGTTAATAAAATCCTTGCTACGCCACTTAATATGAATCTTGTATTTTGATTATGAATTCCTTGAATGAGCCATATAAGGGAAAGTGAATGGAAAAAAAACTGACCTGTAGAGAAACATATTCAAATTGTAATCCTTGAATCACAGTTCAGATAAGTAAAGTATCCATTTTAATCCATATCCATATATATCCATATCATTTATCAGAAAGTGAACGACAAAGCAATAACGGAATAAAAGTATATATTTTTTTATCAATCCTGAACAGACATCTTTCAAGATTTTTCTGTGTTTGTTTTTATGTCATGTAATTTGAGCTCATGTGACGTATATTATGACACGTGAGTAGATGTTATTGTTTGTGAACTGTATTTTAAGTTGGCTAATGGTCGAAAGCTTGTCCATACGTCTAATAATGACGTAGTACTCGGACCCTCGGTCCGCGTCTCACGATCATTATTAGACTTATGGACAAGCTTTCGACCAATACTTACTAATCTATAGTGTTTGTAGCTAGCACGTGTTAGAACCAAGTTACAACTGAAACATTTCAGAAATTTTTCAATAGTTACATGGTTCATGATAGGATGTAATATTTTCTCTGAAAAATATTCACAGAAGAAACAAGACAAAACTAGTGATTAGGGTGATTGAAGAGTAACCAGTTACTATTCAATATAAGGCACTGGCACAGGGTTAAAGTTATGTTTACAATAATTGTGATGCTAATATGCAATGAACTAAATCAAAGAAGACAAAACTAGTGTATTGTATTGAATACAGAAAGAATTGTTTTACGTGAAAAAATTCAGCATTAACGGTCTCACCTACTCTGAAAGTTCCGCTAGCGCTCTCTAACAAATTCAGCTTTACGGAAACTGTCGAATGTAGTTTAAGTAATAAAGGAACGAATATTGGATAGACTATATGGATATGTTTAGAGTAAGATTGAACTACTGTTTATTATCTTTGTCTTTGATTAAAATATCAGCTTCTCAGACGAACTCTGGTAAAAATGAAATTATGATCACCGATGTTTATGGTTTTAATGGCTGTTGTGATCGTCCACGACACGATTATAACCAAAGTATAACAGTTCAGATAGAATTCGGAATTATCACTATAAATGGACTAGATGAAAAACTACAGGTTATGTCCCTGAATGGTTATCTTCTTGTCAGATGGCGAGATGATTTTTTGTGGTGGAATGTTAGTAAATATGGTCCTCAGAGGAATATTCGAGCAGATCAAATTTGGACGCCAGATATAATGATTTATAATGCTTATAATAATTTTGGGAAGGTTGAATTATCACCATCTAAGGTTAAAGTATACATTAACGGAACAGTTGTGTGGTTTCCCGGTGGACGCTATCAAGTCATATGTAAAATAAATATTCGTTTGTTTCCGTTTGATAATCAAACGTGTAGCATTTTGATTGGTCCGTGGGTAGATGGATTCATACGCTTTGACGTAATCAGGCAACCGTTTCTGCTTAATTTCAATTTTACCGATCCCGAATGGATCTTAGTTAAAACCGATTATGTCTTTGTAGACTATGTTGTAGCGTTCAGATTTTATTTAACCAGAAGATATATATTTTATGTAATCAACATTATTGTACCACTCGTGATTTTATCTTTACTTACAAATTTGGTTTTTATTTTACCGACGGAATCTGGTGAGAAGGTTTCTCTATCAATCTCGATTCTACTATCTTACATTGTCTTGATGAATTTAATATCAACTCTATTACCAACTAACTCAGATCAAATCTGTTTATTGTCTGTGTACATCATGGTTCTTATCGTTCACAGTGCTCTCTCTACTATAGCTACTGTGTTGGAATTACAGTTGACATATTCTAAAGAGAAATGCTGCAATCAAAAGCCATGTGGAGAAACAAATGGCGGAATGAAACATCATCGTCCGTCGCACAGAAAACTGAACATCATAGCTTTCGTGATCAGTTTGTCATTTACTATAATTGTTAATATTGTATTTTATTTCTTGATTATTTGAAAGTCTCTGTAATTCAAAAAAAATCCTAACATTGGATTTTATACAAGAGATTGTAAAGATTTTTCTAAAAGTTTTTTTCTATGTGTTATGGGGACACTCTAGCATCAATTTGCACCATTACAGCAATTCCAATGTGGTCCAGCAATTCCTCCAAAACTAAGGCTTTGATGACGTAACTATCGCAAAATCTTATTTACAAACGCTTAGTCTCAGTAAAAGTGCACCCCAAATCATTCGAAAACAACCAGAGAGTTAATAGGTCCTATTGTTTCGAATTTTAAGTGTCTTACCGAATGATTCTTGGGAAAACACAGATATGAATTAAACCAACACTTCTTAGAGGAAGGAAAATGCACACTAACTGCATCCGTATATATCAAAATTCCCATGCATTTATTACACCAAAATGTGATATAATCTTTGTGTGAAAATAACGAAGAACAATAGATGTGTACAAGACACTCCTATTGGAGTTTGATTTTTCCTAAACGATCATCTTCAATTGGTTTTAATTAAGTCAAGTGTCCGCCTAATATGGTTACGTTGTCCAAATATGGAAAACGCGGGGGTGTTTTTGACTGAATGAATGAAATGTTAGGTTTCCTTTCCGACAAAATTAATTATATATAAGTATGCTTCTGTTAGTAACGATATCAATTCATCGAAACCAGCAAAATGTTGTTTTATACAGGACTTGTCATCGTGGCTTGTATTGTTTCTTCCAATGCAATATTCGGTAAGACTTTTTCATTACTTATACCGCACACGAAATTTAATAAATTCACATGTATTTTGGGCTAAGAAGTAAAAGCATTGTGGAAGATTTTTATGAGAAAAACAGCATCAACATTCTCTTGTTTGATTTCCCACTGCTATAGCACCAAACTATCTGCCAAAACTTGTTTAAATGGAATTGTTAATTTAAGGTATTTCTATTTCAGAAAAGAAATGTGACGCTGTCGACTTGGTTTTCATAGTCGATACATCAAACAGCATTTGGCCCGTGAACTTCGATATGTACATTAAACCCTTTCTCCAAAATGTAACCGAAATGTTCTTAATTGGACCTGGAAATAAAGATTCGAGAGTAGGACTGGTTACTTATAGTGATGACTATCATCTACAATTTCACCTGAACTCTCATTTGACATCATCATCACTCACACAAGGAATCAAGAACATGAACTTCCCCAGGGGAAACACCTATACTCACAAAGCATTGGAGTACGCAACAGAGACAATGTTCACTGAGAGACACGGTGATCGTGAAGATGTACCAAATCTTATCATCATTATAACTGACGGAGTTTCAGCAAAACCAACGCTAACAAAGACTGCAGCTGATGAAGCAAAACGCCGAGGAATACAAGTATTTGCCATTGGTGTGGGGATTGATGTTAACAGTGGAGAACTGGACGATATGGCTAGCGAGCCACATGAGACCTTCGCTTTTAGAATATCAGAATACAGCGCTCTCAGGCAGATCAGCAGAAATTTTGCAAATAAAAGATGTGGAGGTAAGCTACTCATTCAATACTATCTGGATCCTTTTCTGTTGCATCATGATGTAGATACTGATATCACATTTCGCATTCAGCGCTCATATTTTGAGTAACTATCATAACTCGCTATGACTTTCATTCATCCGTCCACAACAGAATCAATACTCTGATTAGATTTTAATGAAGTTTTTAATACTGGTGTTTTCTGGTAATATCTAAAACTTTTATTTAACATTTCGATCTGCATTTGGCAATAGGGTGTATAATAATTTACTTCATATTTCAGTTCTTTCAACACCAAAACCATCGACAACTACAAGGCTCACAACAACTACAAGACCCACAACAACAACTACAAGACCCACAACAACAACAACCACAAAACCTACAACAACAACCACAAGACCCACAACAACAACTACAAGGCCCACAACTTCAACCACAAGACCCACAACAACAACTACAAGGCCCACAACAACAACTACAAGACCCACAACAACAACTGTAGGAACAACAACCGATGGTTTTAATAATGACAAAAATGCCAACGTAACTTGTGAGTACTTTTTCTCTGCATCCTAATGATTCGTATAAAAGTATTGTTTACGAGAGTGTGTATCAAAGATTGTTCAGAGAGTTGCTATATATTCAACGAGTAAACATTAGAATTCGTATGATTCAGATCATTCAAATACATGGTAAATATAATAAAGGTTACTGGCCTGACATCCCAGATCAAAATGGCAGAAACGTCATACGTTAATTATTGATCAAGTCGTAAACGATCGGTCATATTACGAAAAATAATAATATAGTGCTATTTTATTCTTCATTCCCTTTAATTCTGAATTATGATTTTGATTGTAGATTGTGCAGGAAAACCAGCCGACATATTTTTCGTATTGGATTCGTCTACAAGTGTTTACATCAACGACTTCAGATTTAAAATGCTTACCTTTGTTCGAGATGTTATACATTCCTTTGATATCTCTCCTGAAGCCACACGAGTTGGTTTAGTCACTTACTCAGATGATGTGAATCCAGTTTTTGGTTTGAAAGCTCATAGAAATAAAGCTAGTCTTTTAAAAGCAATACAGCCTGAAAGTGTGGAATACTTGAGTGGATCGACTAATACTGCTGAAGCTATCAAGTATGTTAGAACCGAGGGATTTAAACGAGGAGGCTCAGTTCGTCCGGATGCTGCCCATGTTATCATCATCATTACCGACGGCATTTCCAAAGACCCCGAATACACAAAGCTAGAAGCCAAAAGGGCAAGGGCGGAAGGCGCTGATATATTTGCAATTGGTGTAGGAAAATTCACGGATGATGAAGAGCTTAAAGGCATTGCAAGTGATCCTGACAGCAAATACCTATTTAGTGTGAACAACTATGCTGCATTGAATACCATTCGTAATTTACTGGCTCGTGAAACCTGTGACGCAATATCAACACCAGTACCTAATGATCAAACCACACAATCAGGTAAATATATTGTTTTTTTTGCAAAAAAATATTGATATAATTATGCCGTGAATGAGGCAATGAGGTTCAAATGTTTTGTCTTACCATAGAGTTAAGTGGATTTCATTAGACTAGGTTTCTCTTTGTGGTTGGGCGTTCATGCCAGTATTCACGACCTCTTTTCTCCGTGACTTAATTGCAATTTGAAATTTGTATTTTTCCAGGTCTACCTATTTGCTCGCCGTCAAATATCCATTTTGTTTATGAATCTGGAAGTAAATCATTCTCAGAACGAAATGCTTTGATGAACACCATGAGAAGATTCACCACAGATGAAAGATATAGAGGATTACCCATCAAAACGTCACTGACCACGGATCCTTGTACTGCTTCAAATAAGATACCGTTCGCAAAATTGGAAGAATTCCGTCAACAACTTGATGAAATGAGAAGTATCCAGAAAGTAACTATGCATTCGTTGATCAAAAGAGTTCGTCGGAAGTATACCAACGTTCAACCGGAAGTTACTAAAGTAATGGTAGCTTTTGTTGACGAGGACACTGACGACCTGAAGAGAATATACAGAGAAATCAGAAATGCCGAATATTGGGGATTTAAAATAATGTTGGTAGCAATAGGAAATGTTGACCAGAAGTTCTTGAACATGGTAGATTCTTCAGCTCAAAGAAATGTTGTAAGAGTTAATGGTTATGGAGATTTAAATAAGTTGGTACTCGATGTACCCTATTTGAGATGTGGTGGTAAGTCATTTTGCTTTTAAAGAATAATTTCACAAACCTAACAAAATGAGGACCTGAATCACCTTAGACAGCTCAATCTTCCTATTATGTCTTGTTAAATGACTTTCAAAGTTATCAAGGCATAGGGCCCTAGTAATAAAATGGTGGTGCCAACGAATCACATGATCATGGTATTAGTACGTCGAAATATCTCAACAAAAATCGGTTCTTGCATATTATTTCAAGAATTTCAGCACCCTCTTAAGTAAAACACAATCGTATTGATAGTAGTAGACTGAAAAATGGATTTCCCCCTTCCCCCTGAAAAAATTCCGACAACCGACTATTACTGCAACCATGCACCATTGCCCCTCCGGTGATATAACTTCGGAAAGTCTGACTACGGGGCTGATATAGTTTGCACGGATTCTAATATATTCATCATTACATGTGTATCACAGGGTTATTGTATGATAATGGTATTATGTATTTTACTTTTTCAGAAAACCATACCCAAACCACAATCAAAGTCAGTACAACAAACAAACCAAGAACCACAACCCAATTTCAAATACCATCAAGATCTCCAAGATAAATTGTGATACGGATAATGCTATCGAGTGTTTGAACTTCCGACAACATTGTCAATTGGTGCAATATTCTACGTACTTTGAACTTTATGTTAAGTGTGAGTGTATGAGAAATTGGACGAGTAATGTGTAATGTGTAACGAGAACATGAAGGTATGAATGAGAACATGAAGGTATGAATGAGAACATGATTATATGAAAGACTCGGCTTTATCCGGAAATAAAGTCTATTTCGCAATAATGGTGGATCACATGGCTACCTACAACTTTGTGTTCCAAAAGCAGATTTTGTGACATGAGTAAATTGTTGTATTTTAACAAACGTGTGTGATAATATTATTTAGCGAGCCATATTAGATCTGATATTTAAGAACAATATGCATAAGTGTTAGATGTCGCTGTCGGTGTTCTGAACGGTGATTTTTTTGCAATAATATTATATAGACATTCTTCGTACCGTATTTACAATTTTTTAAATGTTTTATATTTTAATTATTGAATTTGATTTATTTTTGTATCTTATTACTACTACTTACGTCAGCTTTTAACAAATAAATTACATTTTTTAAAGAAAGTTATTGTAAGAAATTGAGTTTGTATTTGCAGTATACCCAGGTCACATGTATGATTACATCCCAATAATAGTGTCCTTAATAATTTATTTGGAGATCTTTTGTTCATATACTTGAAACTTAATACATATTATCCCCTGTGAAAATGGTCAATTCTAAAAAGCACCTGCTTTCATTGATAATAGGCCAAACAGTCATGCATTAGAGATCTAAGTTGGCGAGGAGGGGTTTAGGGGACGAAGGAGGAGGGCTGAAATTGCAAAACTAAAAAAATATTTTTAAAAAAACGAGTACATTCACTAATCTCTTTTATTGAGATCAGTGAGTGGACCCGCAATATTCTACTTTAAAGGGACACAACCAATGAAATAAGACCACAACACATTCTTATATAAAAGGGAAGTACGAACTCGCAGTAATAACAATTGGTATTTATAGAAAGTTGAATCATTAATGAGTTTTAAGACATTACCAGATATTCTACAATGATCCTAATCCCCACACAATACAGTCATCGTACAATTCCGTAAGTATAGTTTGTCATGTGATTGAGTTTACGGTACGTGCGTGTTGATAATGAAATGAAAGAAATTACACTTACCTTTTCTTTTATACAATACAAGACATGCTATAAATTCAAAGTCCAATTTTCACTCTTTAGTAGCAAATTACACTATAAAATAAAAAAGTCAACTATAATCCAATTTAAGTTTACATGATAAAGAAAAACAACCAAATATCGTCAATGTATAGAAAAAGTTCAAAAATTACAAATAGTCCCTCACAAAATATCACATTTTACTGCGTGGCAATAAACAGGCTGTAAGCAAATCTAGTTCATTCACGTGCAGTGCAGTAGGCGAGTCCAATCCCGAGACGAGTTCAGTCAACTTTAATCAAAGGGGTGAGGGGTCTACTGTCTTTTACTAGATATTTTTAAGATGACTTTTCCTTGATAAAATATGATTTGAAATCTGAATTACCAACAAGCGAGCAAAATGCTTTTAGCTTGTTTTTATTTATATAAATAAACAGATAAATTAAGTCAAATATGAAGAACTAAATAAAAACTAATTTGACATTTATCCCCCCTTGACCACAAAAACAATTTTACAAAAGGAGACATATCGTACGATGTGTCCAAAATCTGTAAGAAAGTACCGTTGATGTTTTATATATTTATTGTTAACAATCACAATATTAACATTTTGACAGATAAACTAAAGTCTAAATTAGGATCATGTACATCTTACAACTAAATAATAATAATAATAATCAAAATAGGTTCGATCAAACTGATACAAACGATTATTTTAAACCAGAGTGGATGGTATATTTTTGCTTTGCTTAGTCAGTTATAACTACAGCAGACAAGTCTCTGCATTTGAACATAAGAATTGCCCGCCTGTTGTTCTTCAAAATCAGTAGGCTACGAGTGAAATGCCTTATAGCAAATACAATTAGTAGACCTTAACTCGATTATTTAACAAGAATTTCGAAAGATTAAGTAAGATCAATCTTTTTGCATTTGAAAAATATTGAATAAAATATAGTATGAAATATTATGCATCTTAGAGGAAAACCACTTGACAAATTATTTTAGAGACGAAATTTCATGATCCTGAGTTTCTGGAGTAAAATTTCCAAACTTTTGGAGTAAGGTACTTGGTTTGTCAGAGAATTTGGGATTATATTGATTATGAACTTAATAAAATAAGATGTAACAATATATACAAAGACAAAGATATTATGTCAAACACATGGGCACACTATTTACAGTAATTTGGTTTGGCATCATAAACGTGCTTAAAGAATCCAAAAACTAAAATTAAGAGAAACGTATAAGTAATATCTTTGAAATGCGTTTGATCTAAAATTATTGATAAAAACTCAAGCTAAGCGTAGATGTCAACAACCCGATTCAGATATAGCGTAGATGTTCAGATATAGCGTAGATGTTCAGATGCGGGTATAGCTATATGTCCTAATTTAAAAATCTTATTACATGAATGCAAATGCAAACGTAAATTTCAATTGTAAAAAATAAATAAAATAATTATTTCAATAGTGAAGCCAAATTAACAACCTTTATCACGCTGTTCTAGAAGAGTAAACGCTCCTTACTTCGCTAGCAACGGCTGCATTGACATAATTATAGCATTGGCATCATTATAGCATTGACAAAGTTATAGCATTGACATCGTTATATTTACATCATCGACATAATCATATCATTGATATAGTTATAGCATTGGCATCATTATAGCATTGACATAATTATAGCATTGACATCGTTATATTTACATCATCGACATAATCATATCATTGATATAGTTATAGCATTGGCATCATTATAGCATTGACATAATTATAGCATTGACATCGTTATATTTACATCATCGACATAATCATATCATTGATATAGTTATAGCATTGGTATCATTATAGCATTGACATAATTATAGCATTGACATCGTTATATTTATATCATCGACATAATGATATCATTGATATAGTTATAGCATTGGTATCATTATAGCATTGACAAACTTATAGCATTGACATCGTTATATTTATATCATCGACATAATTATATCATTGATGTAGTTATAGCATTGATATCATTATAGCATTATTGAGCGAATGGTGATATAGAGTACATTTCCACTTAGCTAAGAGCTAATAATTTGAGCTTAAACGCATAATTTGGTATCAGAACATAGGATTTCTTAAAATATAAAACACAAGCCCTATATACTACATTATATTATATACAATATAAATACCCCATTATAAATTTCTGGTTCATTACAGTACTAATAGTCCAGTTTCTAGAGATTTCAATATAAAAATACAATACAAAGTTCAATTACCCATCTTAAAGCAATTGATGAAACTTTATCGATTCACTAATCAAACTTCCAATACAATTCTCGTTAAATTCCCAACTTTTATTTCAAAGTAAATGGATTTGTGTTCATAAAATATCCTTTTACAGACCATTAGTCTTGTACAGAGAGCACTATTTTTCACTCACAGATCGTAATCTTATTATTTAATATCCTCATTTTCACCAAAAAATATTTCTTAAAAATTTATTTTCACTTATAGAAAAATCCCCGTAAATCTATCATATCGTTTTTAACTTTTTTCACCTTTTTCGAGTTTTTATTTCGACGCTGTCGTTTCTTTCTCAATGGACCTCGCCTCGATCTTTTGGAGGTTTTCGTAGTTTGTGCTTGAGGACTTTGTTCACATATAAATCTGGCTTTATAGCGATCGCAATGTTTGTTGCGCCACTTGAGCCGTTTCTTCACGACCACGCAATTCTTCTTGTGCAACATTCGCTTAACTCGAGGACGACCATTTTTCCAATTTGTGATAGCGACAGGATCACCACTGATGAACTTCCACACTCCAGTATCTTGTTTATCATTTAGACCTGGAATATGACATAGGTTGTTATTTAATATCAATATTTATCATATTTTTTAAGAATCTGATGATAGTTGGTGTATTAAATCAAAATTTATCATACTTTTGATAAACAAAATCTGACAATAATTGGTGTTGAATATCAATATTTATCATATTTTTGATAAACAGAATCTGATAATAGTTGGTGTATTAAATTAAAATTTATCATACTTTTAATATACAAAATCTGACAATAATTGGTGTTGAATATCAATATTTATCATACTTCTGATAAAGTGAATCTGATAATAGTTGGTGTATTAAATTAAAATTTATCATACTTTTGGTAAACAAAATCTGACAATAATTGGAGTTCAATATCAATATTTATCATATTTTTGATACACAGAATCTGATAATAGTTGGTGTATTAAATCAAAATTTATCATACTTTTGATAAACAAAATCTGACAATAATTGGTGTTGAATATCAATATTTATCATATTTTTGTTAAACAGAATCTGATAATAGTTGGTGTATTAAATTAAAATTTATCATACTTTTAATATACAAAATCTGACAATAATTGGTGTTGAATATCACTATTTATCATCCTTTTGATAAACTGAATCTGATAATAGTTGGTGTATCAAATTAAAATGTATCATACTTTTGATAAACAAAATCTGACAATAATTGGTGTTGAATATCAATATTTATCATACATATAAAGAACAGATATTAACACCAGTTGTTATTAAATATCAAAATTCATCATACTTATGATAAACAGAATCTGATAAAAGGCGGTGTTTAATATCAATATTTATCATACATTTAAGTAACCGAATCTGACACCAGTTGTTATTAATATCAATATGCTTATTTATCATACTTATGGTAAACTGAATCTGACACTTTGTTGTTATTCAATAACAATATTCATCATATTTCTAATAAACACAATCTGACAATAGCTGTTAGTCAAAACATTAAAAATTGTCAAAATATTATCATACATAATTTTAATTCAATGTATATAACAATTATTTCATCGTGAATAATAACAATAATTGCTGTTCAATATCAATATCTATCATAAACATGAGTATAAGACCATCAAGACCGATTTGACTTACCTATCCAGAATGATTTTTTACGAGCTTGATGACCTAACCATTTCAGATGTTTAGCTGATCTTACACTGGTCAGATGTCCATTGTATTTACTAACACATAGTGACTCGGCATCATCCCAGGGAAGTTTATCATTGATATATTTATAACAAAACCCGTCAAATTCATGCCATCCTGAAAATGCATAGAATCCAGTGTTATATTGGTTGATTGAGTCTTCAGACTCAGTAGCATCCTAATTATAATACAGGGAGAGCTAATATAAAATCACACACAGGCTTGATAAATATCATTTTAAAATCGTTTCACAAAAAAAATTGTATACTTGAAGCACATATGTCATGTTGGCGATACCATATTCTATGTAATAGGCCTACTATAAACTTAACATGTTTTACAAAAACTGGTCTTTGAAGACAGTGCACCATTTCTCATTGTTTTCAATAAAACACTGAATGCTTCCCGTTTCTTAGCTTTATTACAGTTTCAGGACTCATTGTGTTTATGAACACATGTTAAGGTGGACATCTCGAGAGTCAATGTCAGCTATGTTTAAGTTTACACATGACCATATTGAGTTTATTTATATCCGACATACCTTGTTGGCAAATGTTACTTTTAGGCCGTTCATCGTTGTTCGAGATAGCGTTCCATACTTGCCATTCAGTACCGGTACACTGGAACATCTGTTTTTCATATTGATCAAATCGTAATAAGCCTTTCTTAGAACTATCACATTTAGGTGTCTGAAAGTCAAGTGATAACATTTTTTTTCATTTTCAATACGTCAAGGAACAAATGTGTTTTATCATATGTAATGCATGTTAAGTGAGTTCATAACCTTGTTCAACACTTAATATTATTATAACATATTGAACTTGACCCAGCTGCACATGCACCAACAAAATTTGATGCCTGTTGCATATCACAATTAAGTCGTCAACTCATATGAGACGAGACCCTCATAAAGTCTAACTTAAGGAGTAAATATCAGTTTATTTGAACACCTTCTGCACAGGGTTTGCTTGGATCATACTATTCTTACCTTCTTATTAGAGAGCTTATCAAAACTATTTTGGCTGCTATCTTCGTTCTTGGGTGTTTTCTTCTTATTCTTCTTCTTCTTTCTCTTACCCTTTTTGCCTTTCTTATGCTTTCGTTTCTTATTGTATTTTGGTTCTGTATTCAGGAAGGTTTTATCAACATTAAGACCTGTAGCTATTGGTCCCGACAGTGTATTTAATGTGTGGTACTGAAATGGGATATGACAACTTGTAACATTCGGGATACAACATGCATTCAAGAAAACGTTTACTTAAGGATCTTCCAGTACGAGTTTATAATTTGAGCCATTCAAATGGGGATTTGGCCTTATATATATATAACGCACTGTAGTCAAATTAAAACGACAGTTATTCGGTTATCCTTTTTTGCAATACTAAAATATAATGCAGAGAAAATGATCACAGGTATGACAATCCGCTGAGAGCATTATAACAACAATAACACGAAGTGAACTTACAATTTTCCCATTGTCTGAAGGAGAATTTTTAGATGGAATCATGATAGAATCGCCACCTTCCAATAAAAATCCGTTCTGTGTAGCACTAACCATACCAAGATATTGTGGACATTCTCCTGAAAGTGGTCAACAAAATAGTATGGAGCTACGAAATTGCATAAAAGAACACACAATTAAAGGCATATGTCTTTCCAAATAATTTACAACCCCGTTCATTCAACAGATTAAGAACGTAGCTAAAGTAAGCCATTTCGGCAGTTCTAATAATCCTTAGCTTACCACTCTCGGCGTTGATGATTTTCAGTCGTAACTTTTTATTATCACCAATAATAGCATTAATTGGTTCCACTAATGTCAATCTTAACTTTTCATTAGCCTCTTCCAATCCATCGTTTTTAATCTGTAGATCCCAACTAGCTCTGGATTGACCTGAAGTGAGTAAGCATAGACAATTAATATGAGGTTGTCTTATGAAATCTGGTGTTTCCTTGTTGAAGACAATAGGTCGATCCCAAGCAGCAAAAGCTTGCTTATATCATCCAAGAAAAACTTTTCATTTCGCTATAAAGCTGTAAAATTCGTAGGAAAGAAATGCATTTGCAGAGATCATTGGACTTGGACATAATGTTTCTTATAATAGTGGGATTCGATGACTAAGGTAATGAGCAACTTCAGGTTTCCAAATCGCTCGCTATTGTGGAAAAAGATGGTAACATTTGCCAGTCTTCAACGCTATTAGCTCGGGTTCAAGTGTAAAGACCCAATAAGTGCTGTGGCGGGTGTTGCTAGCTAGACAATGTATCCTTCCGGTACACCTGTTGCCAATCAGAGTTCTGAGAGTATCCAAAATAATATCTTTTATGGTATATTATGTACGTAAACCAATAAAAACAACAGTAAAAAACTGACCTGGGCCGAACTGAACTTGCTTAGCAGAACTTGGCACGAAATCTTCTCCGGTTTTAGCTGACATTTCCTTAATCTGAACTCCAACATAAGCCATTTGATGAATAGCTCCAATACGTATTAACGTTATTGACAAGACACCAACATTTTCACATGCAACCATATCAGCAGAAATAAACTGAATAATTGACCAACCAAAAGACATTCTGAAATTTCAAAACCATAAACATGTATATAGAATGCAGTGGAGAGCACCACCGAAAAGATATTCTAAACCAATATTTCTAACCCCATCGACCGAACGTCTGATCGTTTCGTGTCTTAAGCTCATTATATTGTCAATTTTCGACTAGAGAATCTCTAGAAAGAATCCGATCCGATAGTCGTCCTGGTCACAACCAAGAATCAGTTTTTCAAGCTCTACTTCAAGCAAAGGGGGATTTTGCGGTTGGGATACGAGATCACCCATTGGATCCTAACTACCATTAATGATGCATTCAAATAAGCATTACTTACATTTGATTATTGACTGAATTTCCACGGCTGTCTTCAACCCGGAAAGTAAAGTTGTCATGAGTGGCCTGGACGTTCCTATCAACAATATACTGTAGACTTGAATCATCCAGATCCTTTTGAGTAAATCGTCTTCTTACAAATCGTTTGGCTTTAGTGTTTTCAATGTGACCATATTTAGGTCTCTTAATCATGGTGTAAATCAACTGACTGCTCTGGGTATCCGAGTCAACGGCTCTCAAAACTTTATTGTTTAGTTCGTATCCGTACTTCTGTTTACCAAAATGTTCGAGAATTTCAGGATGCTTGTTGACGACGATGGTTGGTGCATCATCAACTAATGGTTTGACGAAGATACTGCTCAAGGCGGGTTGTGTTTGTAAGGTACCATTAACTAAGAACTTAGTATGTTTACCATCAGACAAGTTGAAAAGAAAATTGTCTAGGCCGGCTCTAGTGCCATCACTGATATAGGTAATGAAGCCGCGATCAATATCTGTCTGTGTAAAAGAATGAGAGATCATTACCCCTCTATTATATAAGTGACCGTAAGTAGGTGGTTTGGCGATGATGAAAGTTAAATTCAGAGCGTCCGTATCGGGGTCGACTGCTTTTAGAATCTGTGGTGAAATTACCGATTCGGTTCCTTGTAAAACTTCTAATAAATTGTTGGCTATTAAGGACGGTAACATTCTGTCTAATGGTTGGATCTTTATTCTAAACTCGCCATTTTTAGCTTCACTTAGTCCATTAGTGACGGTAAACACAAATGAGTCTTCAATAATGTCTGTTTTTGTCAAGTGGCTATATACAACCTTCTGTGATGCTAAATCAAGCTGAGAGAAACTATTTATTTGACCCATAGGCTGATCAATATATTGAATTTTACCCAGTCTCGGGGGCCTTATTACAGCAAACACAATTTCTTCTGCTTTAGTGCTTTCGTCTGATGCACCGAGGTTGTTAGTGCTAATTGCGACTCTTTCGCCTTCGCGTATCGTCATTCCACGATTCAATAGAGCTATGTTAGTTTTCCTGGAGTTTTTAATTCGGATTTCAAACGTTTCCTCGTGTCGTTTATGTTTTCCATCCGATAAAACAAACATAAATCTATCGGTTTCACTTTTCCCCATACTAGTTGTATGAACGTATCTAACTTTATTTAGATCGACGTCAGTTTGAGTGAAATTAGCCCCAAGTTCAATATCCTGACAATCATTGTCTAAACTCTTGGAGAATGGATTAGGACAAAATTGTAATAACCCTTTATTGGGCAATTCAACCACAATATAATAAAGAAAAGCGTCACCGTTGTCGTCATCCGTTGCTTGAAGTACTACACTTGATATTAAAGCAGAATCTCCATAATCCAATTGTAATCCCGCATTCTTGATAACTTCCGGTTTCTCGTCATTTCTGGCGGTAACTGAGACATTACAGACATGTTTAATTTCGTGCTTGCCATCAGACACAGTAATGACAAACTTATCGTGAAGGCTTTCAGAACCGTCATGCGTGTATTTCAATTGTAACCCACTGCGTAATTCGTCCAAACTGAAGTCCTGTACTTCGGTTTCAACATGTCCTTTTCTGGTTTCAATCATCATTACTACAGTACCATGATTCGGCTGTTGGGAGAGGGACAGAGTCAATGTGTCTTTAGGCATATCCAAATCTATAGCGTCCATCATAGATTGATCCATAATCATAGCACCACCTTCATCGATGGTGAAGTCTTTCAACATCAAATCCGGTGCTTCATCGTTTGTAGGAACTATGCCGATCGACACAATCTCGGGTTTGGAATTGAGTTTTCCGTCAGTGGCGTACAGTTCACATTGATCATGAACTGGTTCCACCCCCCTGTGATTCGATTGGACATAGTTTATAGATCCATCTAAAATATCGCTATAGGTAAAGGAGTTAATCCTAAGACCAGCATTGGACTTTTCTGATCCGGGGCTTGGTTTCACATTTTCTAAATACCCCCATTGCGGTTGCTTGGTTATCTTGAACTCAATTTCTTTTGTCTTAGAATCAGGGTCTGTCACTGTAAGAATATTCTTGCCGACATTGTACGTTTCCCCTTCGGTTACCAAGATGGGAGCTCCGAGTATAGTTTTTGGTGATTGGTTATTTACAGGCGTAATGGTGATGTTTAGATCATATACTGGTAATTCAACAGAAGCCAAGTAATTCTGGTCTGACACAATGAACGTTGCAAAATCGTGCAAAGACTTTAGTCCAATTTCCCCACTTGTGTGCAAGAAGGACACAATTTCATCTTTGAGATCGCGTTGGGTGAACTTTGTCACAGGTTGTCCTTGTAGTTGAAGAACACCATACCGCGGTTGCCTAACGATCAGGAAGACCAGAGATTCATCATCAGTGTCGTCATCAGTAGCAGCTAGAATGTGTGGTGTCAACAATGCCTCACTTCCTTCAGAGACAATCAAGTATGGACGTAGATTTTTCTGTAGACGTGGTGTTTTGTCGTCTATTGGTACAATGTCAACTGATATAACTTTGGTAGCTTGGTTCACGCCATCAGTTAATTTTAAAGTGAACGTGTCAACCAGTTCGATATCGGATCCATCGTGGACATATCTGAAAAGATATAAACACATCGAACTTTGTAATCGATCTCAAAATAGCTTTTATGTTAGTTACATCGGAGAATTTAGCTTGGAAATACCCTCTGTTGTATCTGAATTATCTTCTCAAGATACCAGTCATTATAAACATTGTAAATTGATCAAAGTTGGTCAAATGTTATTTAGCTCTCCAAAATCTAAATAACATCAATGGATCTGAGATAAATTCTTAGTTCCTTATAAAAAAAATTTAACGAAATGTTTGCGAAAAATTTGATTGAGTCATAAATCAAATGAAATATCTAAAGGTGTAAAGGGTATGACATATTCGTGATAATTGAATGTGCAAAACAAACATTACATTTCAAACATTATTAGTTATCAAACAATAGAAACATGGAGTTCATCAATGAAATGTGTTATTCGGTGTATAGGTGACGGTTATGACAACGTCATTCTTTATTAGTTAGGTCAAAGGTCGAAAATCTGGGCACAATTACAAGTAGGAGGGACTCGGTGTTTGAGAAATATATCAGATCAAAGAATTACTAAAAATGGGTCTATTCATACAATTGAAAAAAAAAAATGTTATTTTACATAATAGAAAATGTTTCTATTGCGTCATTTTTGAAACATTATCTAACTTCCAGTAGATTACTCATATGTAGCTGCTGGACAAAATATATTTCAAAAGCTTTTAGCAAATAAGGTATGGTATGTATTTCGTTAAAACCATATGCTTCATTTTACCACATTTTGATTATTTGTAATGTGAGACCCTAACAATCATTACTAAACATGATCATCCCCTACCTTATTGATGTTTCTTGTAAATCTTCAATAGAAAACGAACCAGTGACTTTCATAGCCATCCCATTTTTCTGTAATGTGCCATATTTTGGTAATTCGTAGCAGATGAACTGTAAGTCTTCGGACGGTGTATCTTCATCACTGGCTGATAGTTGGTTAACAGTGATACCCAATACTCCTCCTTCCTCAACTAGCAGCTTCTCCATGGTGAATCTTGGCACCCTGTTATTTACTGGTAGTACCTCGATGTCGAACGTTTGCCCATAGACCTTGTTGCCATCTCCATCCTCCACGGTATAGACAAAACGAACCAATCGTGACAAAGGTCCGATATCGTTGGCTGGAGGTAGGTAGGCAATTTTCAGATAGTTAAGATCCTCTTGGGTAAAAGACAGTATTGGTGGTACATCTTGGTCTTTGTTCACAACTGTCAGATTGTGTGTAGCAACCAGTCGACCAGCGTCCTTCTCTCCAGTATTGAATACGAAATAAGGAGCGGTCGTTATTGTATAGGTGATGTCCTTTGCGCTCGATTCAACGTCGGTGTACAGAAGCTGAGCTTGACCAATATATCCCACATCAACTTCGCGTACTCGGATAATTTTTAAGGAACCCTGATCTAACTCCGGCGGATTTTCATTCAAAGGATCGATAACGATGTGAAACTCATGATCCTCTGACTCGTTTGGTGGATCATGCTGATCCTGCAAACGGAAGCTAAATGAGTCAGTGAACACTCCTTTTCCATTGTGCTTATAATACACTTGTCCTTTCATAATGTCACGTTGTCTAAAACCAAAAATTGTGGTAAGCGTTCCCGACTTTGGAATCTTTCTCACTATGTTTCCGGCTTTGGGCGGTGACGTTAAAGTATAAATTATATTGTAATCCAACGAATCCGCATCATGAGCTAAAAGCACATCTTCACTAAGTTTCTTCATCTGACCCTGATTGATGTGGAACCCTAAATTATTCACCATGTGAGGTGGGGTATCGTCTTTTGGTATGATGGAAATGGGAAAGGTCGCCAGCACAGTATGTACTCCATCATTAATCCTCAATTCAATATCATCACGGAGAGAATCACTATCGTCATGAACATACGTGACAGAACCTCTGGCAACGTCACTTGGCCTGAACATTATGCTTTGCTTTCCATTTAATCGTATGGTCCCATGACGAGCACCTCCTTTCACGTAAACTCGAATACGATCAAGGTTATCCTTGTCAACGATCTGTAAATCATTAACAGTAATTGGTCGTGATTGTCCTTCCAGTAGCACTAATCCATTGTTCAGAGACACCCGAGGTGCAGTGGTCGCTGAGGGTCTAACAGCCACATGCAAAGTTATGACGATGCTTGATGAGAAGTGGCTGTCAAACACAACCAGTTCAGCTTGGTAATGTTTTTGTGTGGTATAACTAACATTTGGTGGTACGTAAGCAATACGATGGTTGTCTAAATCATCTTGATAAAATGAATTGATCTCGGTTGATTGGTCATTTATGTTTACAAAATAGCCCTTTCCTTCTCCAAAGCCTTTGCTGATATTGAAAACTAGCTGAGAGTTGGGAGTTTCGTAGTCTTCAGCTTGGATGATACCCGGAATGATAGTCGATAAGACGAATTGGTCCACATCCATCATGTACATGTTCATGTCCGAGGAGCGAGGCGGAGAATTGGGAAGCGCACCTTTTATATGTATTGGCAAATAAAACCTTTCTACTATTACTTCCTCACTGACTGATGGATCGAAGAGTTCCACCGTCAAGGGCAAATAATCCACATCGGGAATTGGTGATCGAAGATGTTCGTAATGAAGATTCATGTATAAGAATTCTCGACAGTCTTTACTAACTGCGTCCACCGTTTGTCGGTTTTTGCCAATGGTCATTTGTCCAGCGATAGGCCAATGAGAGTGATATCGCGAAAAGCTTATGGAACATGTGGAGTTTTTCTTATCACTATTCCGGAATTGGAGCACAGAACCGTCAATAGTATTAGAGAGTTTCAAAAAGTCTGGAACGACCACAGGCCGTAATCCTTGCGTCATGAAAACATCGTGAGATGCGTTGACTATCCGAACAGTTAAATAAACAACCTCTGTATGAGTCGATGTATCTGTAAATTTATGGACCCGTAATTTGACTTCGTCTTTGGAAAGAAGTGGTGAACCATTGTGGACGTATTTAATCGTTTTGGCAGAGAAGTTGCAATCAAATATCTGAAAATATAAAAGATGTGTAATTAAATTTTACGCCCTACATCGCCACTTAAACTGTATGATATAAAATTTGTATTGTATTGTATTATACCACAATGGGCATCTTCATAATGTTGAACTTCGTCTTATACCTTGACTGTAATAGCTACCTTTCTTCTATTCCAGAATTCAGAATACAGTCAATCATAGCCCTCGGCAGACAGACTCTTAATATTATGGCTTATTGTTTACAGACGTTCTATTTAGGACTCTGATTGACTGTATTCGCTAACGTACAATCCAACCAAAATCGCAGCATTTACAAACTTCCGTGATACAAGAAAGGTGGCTATTGCAGTTCGTTCGGCAATTTGAATTTCACTTTAAAATCGTAACTTTATCATTATTTGTAGAGAAATAAAAGATAAATACGATTCCTGTTTGATCTTACAGACTAGTTGACCTTCTGACAAAAACCTATTTATCAAGAAGTGTGCATATACCTCAGACTATTGTCAGTCACAACAGGCCAAGGAAGAGAGTGGAGGCAGGTGTCAAAACATCAGCAAGCCACTTAGAATCATTAACCAGGTTCCAAGTAGCACTTGAACAAACTGACTGCTATTTCAGTATCGTGCATTCTCAGACGAATTTGGTACCTATCATTTACATTAGAGATATTTTGATACATCTAAATATTTGCTCCAAGCTTTTTAGACAGGGAAGAATTTGGACTCGACATGTCTAGATTATGTAGAGTATCTGTCAAACACATCCGACTAGCAGATAGAGTCAATTATTCTATCAAAATGATGGCATATCTTTCATTCATTATTGATTTATGCAGTATGGCAGATTTAGATTTGAAACAGATTTGACCCCGGGGGCAATACCATGCATAAGACGATGTTTTTGATCATATAAACGTAGCGCCAGTTTTGGGCACTTGTCCCTTGATCCCAAGAGCCATAAGATTCGTAACACCTGTACTGTTAAAATTCAAAAAAGGGCGAACGCTGTAGTTACATTTTCTGAAAAGGAAATTTCTAAATGAGTGGTTAGAGGTTGGGATGGTCGAATTGATGGTGGCTCTGCTTTGACATACACTTTCAAATTTTTTATCACTTATCATGAGGAATGCCTTTGAGCTCCACTTGACAATTCTGTGTCCCATACTCGCCCGACCTCCCTTCGCCGCCCTCCCCCTCACTTATTTATTTACAGAAACGCCGCTGACGCTACACTAGCGTTTCAAAGTACAAAACTATTCGATCGACTTCAATTAAATCACAAATACACTAAGCTTTGAGTTTCATACAAACAAATTGTCTCTTTTTCAATACGAGTTGACGTTTTTATCTAATTTCTATTTCCGTTCTGACTTTAACAGACTATCACTTAATCTCAAGATTGAATGAACATCCTTATTCAGATTAATCCGAAAATATCTGAAAATTAATATGAATGATATCACGTCTATCAGCCCGGGTTTTCCCCAATCTTCTGCCCTTCCTGCTACAAAATGCGGGCGTGACCGATTCCCCGACAGTTGGAATGTTCAAGGTGTGACTTATGCTACTTTCTTGGTAAAATTTCCCTCATCTCATACTGTATGACGTTTCTCGTATTTTTTTGAGGTAGAAAAGTAGGATGTTAAACTTCATTTCCCAGAATTAATCCGATGGTGTTACATAAACTGGATTGTTGGAACTAACCTAAAGCCTGTTGTCTTGAAACCATTAAAGTTTTCTTTGGAGTTTGTAGATCTGATTTCAGAATTTCATTTGAAAAAAAAATAACCATAGCAATACGTTTCCCAAAATATGAGTACTGTCAATTCTTCACGACATCTTATTTGTTTAAACTGAATAATTCGGATGAAATGGGTGAAATATTTAAGTATGTAAGGTAATGAAAGTGTCAGAGTATGATATATTTAAGTAATTTATCAGCCAATAAGTCACTATTTCACACCTGCCTTATCGTTAAATACACAACTCATGGGTAACCAAGGTAGATAGATACTGACCAATGTAGTGAGGAGTCCACTGAATCAAATAAAGTTTATTCAAGGTGTGCGAATTAAAGCGAAATATAATGAAGATAGTGTGATAAGAATTCGCAAATTTGTCTATGCATGAAGATGAATTGTCTTTCATGTAGTGCTGTTTCTGAAATGTAAAGAGCCTTTGTCGGAAAAATTCGCTATTCGCTTTACGATCCGTTTAACGTTAAATGAATAGACCGACTACTAACGATCCGGACCGAAAAACGAAATCCGAAAGAACATATTGACGAAAATTGGTAGCAGCTAATGAACTTTTCATATGAAATTAATCTTGAACTTTATAAAAGTGTAGCATATTATCTGACAAAGCGACACGACTACAAGTGCAGATCCTCTGCAGTGATGACGCTGTATACCTCGCTAACCTAAAGGTTGAACCACAAAGAAGTAATACCTCATCCTTGATTGATCATCATCCAACCTGCACTACTGACAAAGACAAGAAGGCTCGATCAACTTCTCAAACAGTACCTTGGTCAGAAATTCGTGTTTTCTCTAAGGTGGTCACTCATCAACTTGACAGATTGGCCTTGTATGTATATCACCTGTTAAATTAGTCTTGTACTCAAAACGATACAGCACGGTTTCTTTATTTAATGAACCAAGGGACGGTAGTTATGAATTTTTTTCTATTAAAACCAGATCAATTTGGACCCCTTTCTTACACAGGTTTTTGTGGCCGTCTATTTAAAACATCAGTTAAGAGTGTTTACCTAGGACCACTTGTCACCTAGACTCAATTTACCTGTACAATAAACCGTCGACTAACAAGTGAGCAATTCATATATTTTATAGAAATAACACCTCGAGTGTTATCTTACCACCAATTCGTTCTTAACTTATTAAATCTGACACAAAAATAATATTTCTTTGACAAAGTGTTCTTCTCTTTTCATGACTTTGAACCACACGCCGATTATTTTGTACTTCATAGACGTACGCATTGTACGACCATTGAGACAAATGCTGAAAAGAGTTATCCCAAAAGTCTATTCTTTTCAAGCTACAGTAGATAGATTTTCGTACTCCAAATAAAAATGCACGGCAAAAGTCTTATTTCCTGCTCGGGTCTTTTTACCTTTTTTCCCCTGGTAGTGATGCAGGTAAAAGGGGCTGACATGGAAAAAGCGTCTAGTCGTTCGGATGGGATAATTAACCGAGGCCCCATGTGCTACAGGCTGTGCACATTAAAGATCTCATGACAGTTGGAAATCGAAAAAAAGTAAGCTAATGCCGCTGTCCTGGCAAATTTTCCCTCATTGCACTCTGCATGGCGTTGCCCGTCTTCATTAGCCCACATGACAAAAAGAGTAGGGCGTAAAACCCCATTCATTGCATTTCATTTGCTCGGGTCTATTCGAAACATGCAACATCATGCAAAATGGACTGAAGAATTTAAGCCAGAACAACGACAGAAGACCACTTTAGAACAACGACAGAAGACCACTTTAATGATTATCCAACAATCCATTTTCCTATCCTTACCAGGCCAGCCCAAGATGTTCACCTGAATCACCGACAGCAGGAAGAATCAGAAGTTACTATCTCAACATATACCAGAATCGAATCCAGGTATAGAGTCATATACACCAAATATCTAGAAACCATCATCCCTTTACGACATCTTATTGAAAGTATTGAAGTAACAGGATTTTATCATTTTGTGAAATAAGATCTACATGCCCGAGGGAAGAAATTCATTAAGTACATTCTTTAGAAATCAACTTCTTATTGAAACTTTGTACTCTTTTTAAGATCTCTATTATCTGTACTCTGATATAAATGGAAAGTCCTTTTTTTAAACGTAACATAGTAAAATGGTACAGATAAGTTAGTTGATTAAATACTTTGATTTTTACTTTGAAGTTACTACTGTTATATTAACACATTACTGCATACTGCAAATATTATGTATAGCTTTAACAAAATGGAGTCGGAATTCCAGTTCATGAGCACATGCAGGGTTTAAATTTGTATTTCTTTTCTTTATTTGGCCACTTTATATTGTATAAGCTTCAGCAACTTTATAAGTTTTTCTTTGTTGGTACCACAAAATGGTGATTTTGTCTGGTGCTCATGGGTCCTCGTTCTAATCTACTTTCATCATTTCTCCTATCAGATCCCGACTGGATGACCATTACACAATTGACATAATAGTCCCGAGTCTCTTTCTATTTTTGACAGGCCTAAATTTACTAAGCGTCTTTTTAGAACATTTGAACTACTTAGAAAAATGAGGAAAATAACAGAGCCTTATTATTTCCGACAGTATGAACCCATTTTGTGATTTTGTAAAATTTGGAATAAATCTTCCATCTGACAGGACTATCCTTTGGTGGGTAGTCTGGTGGAAATCTGAGGAGATTCGTTCGAAAATGTACGAAACTAAAACCGAAAATTGTATTCCAAAATATCAAAAGATACGAAACAAATGGTAATTATCCCTTGTGGAAGATTGCGTCAGGAAGAACCACACATCTCTCCGCTAAAGTTAGTCTATGCAAAAATATGACAATTTTAAGAGATTCATATTGCATTCCGAAATATTGAAGTGTACTCTTTAAAAAATAAGTGGCATTTTGTTGTTCTCAATTAGACCACTTAATTCAAATATCAAGAAAAGGATGTAATTGTCGACAATTTGAGTCAGAATTTCAAGTATATAAACGACGCATTCATTTTAAAATGATTTTCAAAGATTTGAATAACACTTGTATAGGAGATATTAAAGGTATACAACCTCTTAGAATGACCAAAAAATTGTAAGTTTTAAATTTGGCCAAAATAAGTCTTTGTTCATCAGTGGACTTACCTGGTGTCATAACTATACAACGGAATCTCTCTATAAACCAATAAATCCAGAAAACTAGGCATTAATTCATTAAACAAAGTCGTTTAATATGCTTAGAAGCGTGTTTCAATAACGATTTAGTTTAATAGATATATATGGTCT